AAAAAAAAAAAATCAGGAACAAAGGGCCCCGGGGAGATGGCTCAGTGGAATAAGCTAAGTGCTTCCTTGGCAAGCGCAGGGGCCTAAGTTCAATCCTCTGTTCTGCAAAAAGCAAAAAAAGAAAGAAAAAAGAAAAAGAAAAAAGAAAGCCACTGTGCTTTAATTTGAAAAAAAAAAAAAATCAGGAACAAGACAAGGATGTCCACTGTCACTACTCGTATTCGATACAGTTCTGGAAACATTAGCCAAAGTAATTAGACAAGAGAGAGAACTAAAAGGAACACGGATCTGAAAGAAGTGAAATTATCATTTGCAGATGACATGATACTCTACATAGAAGACGCGAAAAACTCCCCCAAAAGGCTTGTAGACTTAATAACCAAATCCAGTAGTGCAGCTGGATAGAAAGCCAGTGCTTTCCTGGAGGAACAACAAACACCCTGGAGAGCGCAACCCGTAAGAACAAGAATTCTGGCTTTATTTTCGATTCCCCCCCCCCCCCGGGGGGATTGAACTCAGGCCCTTGCGCTTACCAGGGAAGCGCTTACTCCACTGAGTCATCTCTCCGGCCCCCTTTGAGGCAGGGTCTAGCTAAGTCGTTCAGTTACCCAGGTTGGACTCCCACTGCCTCAGCCCCAGTTTCTCTCTTCTCCCGGCAGCGCACTGTCCCTGGCGATTCCACTCCATCCATCTTGACCTAACTACATCTGCGTCACCTCTGCTCCGCAGCGGTCACACCCCGAGGTCCCAGATGGCCACGAATTTTGGAACGAGAGGGTTCAAGCCACTAAACCGTTAAACAGTGGTTTCCGAGCACGCAGGGCCCTGTTGGGCACGGGGAAGCGGTGCCAGGCGGCTGTTAAGTGCCGCCCCGCAGTATATTTCCACTCCCGCTGCGCTGGGCAGGGCGGTCAGCTCGGCCCACCGGCCACAGGCCGGGCACATGGACAGGAGCTCAGGGACGCCCCTTCCTCCTGCGCCCCTAGGACCCAGCACAGCGCCTGGTCCCTCGTAGAAGCTCAGAGAAAGTTTGGTGAAGGAATGAGCACCGTGCAAAGATTCTCAGATCAAAGGGCGACACCCACCGGACCCTACCAGCCTCCCCTGTTCCTCTGCGGAAGAGCCCAGAAACCAACTTCCCTGCTCGGAGAAGAGGGGGGTCTTTCCCTGGCCGGACGTCCCGGATGAGGTCCCCGGCTGGTCGGGCCAGGCAGAAGCCAAGAGCTGGGTGAGGTCGGCGGCGCGGTCTCTTCCGCTTCTGGAGCCGCGGAGGCCACGGAAGAAGGTGACGGCTCCGATCCCTGTCCCGGGCCTGCAGGTCCTCCTGGGCCTTTGCCAGGTGGCCTCGGTCTCCCACGCCTTCTCCTGCTCCCTCTCCACCCAGCGCGCCCGAGGGCCGCTCGTGGTGAGTGTAGCCGGGCACGGGAGACCTCGGAAGGGTGCAGGGAGCGCGGACTGACGCAAGATTCGAGAAGAGGAACTTGCAACCAGCACGGAAAGAGCAAGAGCGGGTGGAGACATAAAAGGCGGAGCGGGGTGGGTGTGGAGTCCCAGGCTTGGAGAGCGACAGGGCGGAGGTGACGGGTCCGCGCGTCCTGCAGACGGGAGGGGTGGGAGTAAGGTGCGGCAGCAGCGAGCCCAGAATCCGGGTTCCCTGCACCCCGGAACGCCGGGTCGCAGGATCCTTGGCCAGCACCCGGTCACCTGAGCGAATTCTAGGAAACCAGCCGGGCTCTAAATGCCGCCTTGGGGTTTAGGATGATGGTTAAAAGCAAGCCGACGCACCCTGAGACCCTAGTGCTGAGGGAAAACAGGGCATGCTTTCTCCTATAGGAGAGAACCAAAGGTAAGTCCGGAGCAACACAAGAGAGAGGTGACCGGAAGCAGAGAGGTAGATCTTGTGGAGACAGAAAAGGTGTCCAGGATGGGGGGAGACGGGAGGCGGGGCGAGAGGCAGTAAGAAGCGTCAAGATGCGATTTGGGCGCCTACGGATTCCTCGAGGTGGCAAGGTTAGTTTGTGTTAGTGGAGAACAGAACATCCATCACCCGTGTACCGGTAGGAGGAGAGCTGGGCAGAGGACAGAGACTTCTAGGAAGAGCGCGGCCCTGCGTGCCCTGCCCTGGTCCTGCGTCGAGGCTTCTCTTCCAGAGGGTGCAGGTGAGCTGCCGCTGAATCTCACCGGGAATTGGTGGGTGGAGACGGGGGTGGGGTGGGCAGGGGCGCGTGCTCCCTGATCACCCGCTCCTCTGTCGCCCACTCAGTCCTGCACATTTTACTCCCCCCTTAGGAAAACAACGACCACTGAAACAGCCTCAGGGCCGCGACTGTCGGCGATAGAAATGCGAAGTGAGCTTCACTTGGGGCTGCCGCAGTGAAGAACGGAACGCGCGGGTTCCGGCCCCCACGTTCCCGTACTTCCAGGGGAGGTGACCTCAGAGATCCTAAGGCCGAGTGGAAATGCACATTCCAGCTCATGTGGCACATTCCCCGCCTAGCAGTTCTCAGTCTGTGACTCACCTTTTTAGTAGAAAAAAGTAGCCAGTGTTTCCTGTGCAGAAGCGCGGGTGCGGGCAATTGAAGAGCAGCTCTGGACCCCAAACCATGGAAGAGAACAGAGCTCGCTGCCAGGTCGTGATCGGCGTGCTTAGCGTGGCCGGTGTGGTCGGCTTGGTCATCTGCTACGCGGTCTTCTTCACAAGAACCCAGCCCGAGGTGAGTGGAGAAGGGGCGGAGGCCCCATGGCCCCAGCCGGGGGGACCTCGGCTGGAAGCCGGTGGGGCGAAGCAGGGCAGACCGAGACCCCGCCCGGCCGCTGGAGCTTCGCCCCCTCAGCACCGGTTAGGGAGGGTGGAAGATGACTGAACCGGGATGGGCAGGAGGAAGCAGCAGGACCTTCAGAAGAGAAGGACTTGCCCGCAGCTGGGGAGGAGGAACCTGAGGATGGAGGGGTGACTCAGTTCAGCAGGGGCTCCCTGGCAGGCAGACAGCTGGGACACCCCCAGGCTGGGGGCCCCACGGTCTCCAGGGGCCCAGGTTCCCACAACCTTCAAGAGTTGGGAGCCCCTTGACTCCCGAGGATCTAGGGTCCTGGGCACAGGCTTGAGCTGGGGTGACAGCACAGGGAAGACCTGCCAGGTCTCCAAACTGCCTTTCGCTCTATTACATTTTTAGGACAAAATGGGTGCACGATGAGATAGCGCATGTTTCCTCCTGTGAGAAATCCAAAGTAGAAATAACTTAGGACAAAATAAAGGCGACACGAGAGGAAACAGGGAGGTAGAGTTTATGGAGAGGAATGGGAAGCCCGGAGGGCGGAGAGGAGGGAAAAGGACCAACACGCGACTTGTGTGTACAGACTGCACGGTGAACTCGCGGTTATGCACCGCAGTCAAATGGGAATGAAAAGGAAGGAACAGACACGGAACGGAAATCAGCGCGCGGGTGGGATGCGAGGTGGACACAGGAAGGAGGCTCTTGGGGGACAGTTAAGCCCTGCTAAGGCCCTCTTCTTGTGTTCTGGTTTTTGCTTCCAGATGGACATGGCTGAGCTGCAGCTGAACCTCACAGGTGATACGGGGGTCTCTGCGGGTGCCGTGTGTGTGTGTGTGTGTGTGTGTGTGTGTGTGTGTGAGAGAGAGAGAGAGAGAGAGAGAGAGAGAGAGAGAGAGGAAGAAGGAAGAGGAGAGGAAAGAATATAAGAAGGGAAGGGGAGGCAAAGGGAAAGAAAGAAAGGAAAGGAAAGGAGAGAGGGGAAGGAGAAATAAATGAGAAGGGGAAGGAGGACGCTCTGTTGCTCGCTTAGCTCCTTGCTTCTGTGTGCTGAGAAAGGAAAAAGTAAAAGCACCAGAGAGAGCTGGAGAGTGTGCGCTTTTCTGTTTATCGGCTCCCCCTTCCTCTTCTCGGTTCTGCACATTTCACTCCCCCTTGGGAAAACCAGAACCCACTAAAACAGCCCCGAGGCATTTTGGTAGCACCCCTTGTTCCCGCGCAGACCCCGCCTCCCGGCTGGCTGCGTAGTGAAAGTAGCAGGTGAATCCCCGCCTCAGCGCCCCCTGCCTCGGGCAGGTGACAGCCTGCAGGTCCCAAGGGCGGGGAGGGCTGGTGGGACGGCTAGGCTGGAGCTCCTGAGGCCTCTGCTCCATCCCCAGCACCGTGCGAAGGCCTAGGAGGCAGACCTTGGGAGAGGCGGGGCAGACCCAGGGAGCGGCTGCTCCCTACAGAGGGGTGGGGGTGGGGCACAGCCTTCCAGAGAAGGGCTAAGAGGACTAGAGGGCGGGCGGTGGGCCGCCAGGGCGCTGGGTGTCCCTGGGAAGACTCTCTCTCCTTTTCCTCACTCAGCCTTCTCTCTGGAACCTTCTCTAGGGGGCACAGCTGACCCCTTCGCACCCCACCCCCATCTGCCCTGCCACCCCCTTTACTTTGCTATACGGGGATTGACCCTGGAGCCTTCTCACTGAGCTACATTTCTGGCCCTTTTTAATGAAGGGGGGGGGGTTTGTCTCTGGAAGTTCCTGGGTTGCCTGACTTGTGATCCTCCTGCCTCAGCTTCCCAGCCCGTCGGGATAGTAAACCTGCACCTCCGCTGCTAGGTTCGCTCTCCCGTCAGGTCCCTCCCCTCCCCTCTTACTTCTGCTCCCTATTCCTCATCCCACTAGCCTTAGCAACAGCCAGTTCTCCTAACCTCCGCCCCCACCCTCTCACCCTCTGCCCCAGGTCCCAGGCAGGAGCCCCGGCTGCGCTGGCAGGCTGGCCCGTCCTTGGGCCGCTCTTTCCTGCATGGACCAGCACTTGTGGATGGACAACTGCGTGTCCTCCGTGACGGCATCTACCGCCTGCACATCCAGGTGACCCTGGCCAGGTGCTCCCCCACGCAGGACGTCAGGGACCACAGCGCCACCCTGACTGTGGGCATCTGCTCTGCCTCCAACAGCATCACGCTGCTGCGCCGGGACTTTGGCCAGGATTGCACTGTGGACCTGCAGCGCCTGACGCAGCTGGCCTCCGGGGACATCCTCTGCAGCAACCTCACCCTGCAGGCTCAGCCCTCCCCAAATGACTATGAGACCTTCTTTGGCATCCAGCAAGTCCGCTCCTGACCAACACCTGCTTGATTAGGATGTTTTGGTTTTCAGCAAATAAATATATTTTCCAATTTCTCCTGGACATGAGTGTTTGATAAGGAAGCAAAGGCCAGCGCAGCTTGCTTCAGCGGGCAAAAGAGAGCTCATGCATAGTCCAGGGCTTCAGAAACAGGTCCAGCCTGGCATGGGAGACTCCGGAGTCAGGGGCAGGAGGATTCCAAGTTCAGGGCAAGCCAGGGTAACTAATGACTTAGGGAGACACTGTCTCAAAAAATTAGGGGGTAGAGCCCAATGGTGGAGCACGACTGGATTTGATCACCAGCAAAAATAAAAATCATATGCTTGTGCCAGGAGCCTATGGAAAGGTGATGAATAAATATGATGTAAAATCGTGAGAAGAAAAGCATTAAACAAGTAAACACAAAAGGGAGCCATGGTGGCACACACTTGTGGTCCCTGCAGTCTGGGAGGCTGAGACAGGACAGCCACAGTTTGGGCCCAGAACAATTTAATGATTTAACAAAACCCTGCCTCATAACAAAATCAATCAATCCATCAAGGCCCAGGATGTTGCTCAGAGTAAAAGGTCTATGTTCAATTTCCAGTGCGGGAGAGGAGAATTTAATAATAAAATACTCATTTTGATTTTTTGCTATACTAAATGTATCAGGCTAGTGCAAGATGCTATTTCCAAGCTCTAGCTGTTATCAAGTATGCTGTCGTAGACATTGACATCCATATGACCCTGTGATATGATTTTAACTCTTTTGGGGAAGATACCTAGAGAGGGGATAGCTGGGTGGGGTGGAATTTTTCTTTTTAGATTTTTGAGGAATTAGGGCTGGTGGTATAGCTCAGTGGACTCAGCGCTTGCCTAGGTAAGCGCAGGGGCCAGTGTTCCATCCCTGGCTCCTCAGGCAGTGCCTGCCTGGCCCCTGGGAGCGCTGAGCTGGCGATGAAGTCTGGATGTGGAGGTGTGTGCCTGGAATCCCAGCATTAGGGAGGCAGAAATTAGGAGGTTCACTACGAGTCTGGGCAGTGAAGTGAGACCCTTCATTAAAAAAAAAAAAGATTTTTTGAGGCATTTCCACCCTGATTTCCACCACGGTGCTACCACATAACACCAATGAGTTCCCCTTTCTCCACGTTGTTATTATTAGATGTTTGCTTCCTTTTTTTGTAAGAAACTTTCTCTGTGCGTCTTGTACTCTGAGTAATTACTTGGAAGGTCATGGTGTAATAATTACTGTTGTTCTGTTATTTAATTATGAAATCTTTTTCACAGAATCAAAAACATCTTTGAAAAGTTGCTGTGCTGGTCATTTTGGCTGTAGCTCACAGTGGCTTTTTCATAAACAACATAGATGTGCCCCTCACAATTTTGGAGATTGGAAGTCTAAGACCAGTCAACGCTCAGTGTCTGCTAAGGGCTAGGTCTGGGTCGAAGACTTTGAAGATGGCACCTTGTGTTTAGTCCTCGAAGGGGGGATGGGGTGGCGGCACGTGCCTCTTCTGGAGGACGTGAATATTTTTCATGAGCATGCAGCCCTCCTGATTTAACTATCCCCAAGGGCTCTGCTTCTTATTCCTGTCTAAGGTGGCAGGTTCCAAATCGTGCTGTCTGGAGGGCACAGCAGCATGCTGGCCGTAGCAGCTGTGACAGACGAGCGCGTGTGTGAGTGGGTCGTATAGGAACTCTCCACATGCTCTGCTTCATCTTGCTAGACATCTCCAACTCTTTTGAACCATACAGGCTCTCCCTGCAAAACATCGGTCAGGTAAAATGTGGCCGGAAGCTGCAGCCAAACAAAGGACAGCTGAATTTCAAAATGGTGAGCACCATGCTTGTAAAACAGCAGCTTCGAGGGGATCTCCAGGGAACATGCAAAATGACATCAAAAGGTGTAAGCTAGGAACTCTCCCTTTGCATGCACACACTTGCATACGCAGCATTAACTCACTGTGGCCCACTAAGAAAGCAGCTGATGGACAGGAGGCAAAACACCTGTGGCTCCTGTGCGCCGCCGTGGATCATTCCCCACTACAAAGAGTGGGGAGATCCTGACACTGCTACAGTGTCCAGTGAGGCCACCGTGCTCAGTGACCTGAGCCAGACAGAAGGACGTGTGTGGCAGGGCCCCACTCCCAGGAGGCCCCAGGGTCTTCAGATCCACAGAGACAGGAAGGAGGATGGCGGCACCCAGACTGGGGAGGGGACAGAGGCTCAGTGCAGGGAGATGCGGGATCTACACAGCCATGGCAGTGTGCTCAGTGCTGCTGAGCTGCCCACCATGTTCAGGGGAGCAAATTTTATGTGTATTTTGTCACAACAAAGAATTGAAAAAGTAAAAAAAAGAAGGTTTTGAACTCATTTTGCTCCTACTGGATAAAAATTCCCAGGCAGGGAAGAGCTCTTTAAAAACCCAGAATATCTCATATTTCCAAAAATTTATTTGGTCAATTATTTCTGTCAATAAGTTAAAAGGTATGTAACATGGATATGCATACATATCATTAGAGAAGTGCTTATTTACACACATGCAAGTATTCACACAAGCACTTAAACACACGCATCTACACAAATCCTTGAAAAGCATTTAAAAGTTCTCTCAGGTCTGAAGAGTGCTTTCTACTTTGAAACTGCATTCTATGCTACTGTGATTTCCTTGTGCTATCAGTAGCGCTTGCTACACTCTGCTGAATGTTATGAGAATCATAAGTTAATAAATTATACAGTATGGCCAGCGAGATAGCTTAGTGGACTAAGTGCCTCCTTAGGCAAGCACAGGGACCAGGCTTCCATCCTGGGCACCACATGCGGGCTGGCCCCGCCCCCAGGTGCGCTGAGCCTGCCACTGAGACCAGGCGTGGTGGCGCAGGCCTGTAATCCCAGTGCTGGGGAGGCTGAAACAGGAGGATCACTACCAGTCCGAGCTGTGTAGTGAGACCCTGTACCAAATATGTTTAAAAAAATTACACAGTAATTGCCAGCTCAAAGCAAATGAAGTAATCCAATTTTGTGTGTCCCTGAAAATTTGGATATTATCTGTGTAGAATAAAAGAACAAATTTTGGGAGGCTTCTTGAATTTTTTCCTTTTTGCCTTACTTAGTGTTTAGGAAAAATATATTTTGTAGTCAGAGAGAAGAAAACCTAACTAGATAAATGACTGTGCCTATCTCTTCAGTCATTACCAAATTACTAACTTCAACAGTGCTGTTCCTCTGTTCTACTAACTGTTGTTCAGTGTTCTTTCCTTTTAAACAGCCTATAATATCTCTTTCAGTCTCTAAGTTTTTTGTAAAATTTCTTTTATTGTGAAAGACCTCACTATGTTCAAATTAATGGCTGGAATATAGTAGAAAGACTGAGAAGTACTTAGCAGGTGTGGTGGTGCATGCCTGTAATCCCAGTCCTCAGGAGGTCAAAGCGTGAGGGTCGCTATGAGCTCAAGGTCAGCCTGGACTACATAGTGAGCTCAAGGCCAGCCCAGATTGTGGAAGCCTATAGTGAACCCCAGTCTCCTACTAGGTGTTACAATGCATGGTGAGAAAGAAAGAGGGAAGGAAGAAAGAAGGAAGGAAAAAAGGAAGAAAAAGACCTGCAAAGAGACAAAATGGCAGTGCAGCAGGGACCTGGGGTGACCAATTGTTGGAGGAACAGAAGGACCTGAGACAGCCAGGACCTCAGCACTTACTGATGGAGGAGGAGATTTAAGGAGGAGATTATTAGGTGACTCAGAGGGTGGTGGCCGTCTTGCCTTCAAGCATATTCAGTCTTCATAGGTAGGAGAGGATGGCCCCACCCCTAATAGAATGATGGGAAGTCGCCAAAGTGTGATCCCAACAATCCCAAGCCTCCATTCATCCCTAGGGAAGCATGCAAAGCTAGCCATTGTGAATTTGTGGTGTCAAACATATCGCCTATTTTGCTTTTGTAATTGCAGCAGTTGAAACAGCACACAGTCTACCATGGCCATCATAGCGACAAACATCCTCAGAAGCTTGTGGCAACAGCAGCGTGGGAGCCTCTTGCCTTGTCTCCTTTAGTTTTCTCCATGGCCTTTTTTTTTTTTTTTTCCATTTATGTATTTGGTACAGGGTCTCACTATGCAGCTTGGACACATAGTGATCTTCCTGCTTCCAGCCTCCCCAGAGCTGGGATTACAGGCTTCACCATCATGCTTGCTCAGACTCAGTCGTTGGCTCAGCATGTCCTGGGGGTGGGGTTGGCATGGCATGCGGCACCAGGATCAACCCCTGGTCCCTTGTGCTTGCCAAAGCAGGCACTTACTTAGGCTGCTGAGCTATCTCTCCAGCCCTTACATCATTTATTTTGCAGCCTACATGGATTTCTGTACTTGCGGCAGCAGGCTCTTCTCCAGGATCCTCCTCAGGAATGCTCACACTGGAGAGCTGGGCAGGAGCAGGCTACACCACAGGCCGGGATGCTCCTCTCGCCATGGTCACGTGGTCTGGGAGGGCAGCCGCGAGAGGGTCCCATGCTCTGTTACCACACAAGGAGGATGCCCTCACCCCTGTTACTAACTGCAGGGAGTGGGAGGGAGGGAAAAAGAGACAGAGAGACAGAGAGAGAGAGAGAGCGAGCAGGAGACAGAGTGACAGAAACACAGCGAGACAGAGAGGCAGAATGAGAGACAGAGAGAGCAAGACAGAGAGACAAAAAGACAGAACGAGAGAGAGACAAACAGTGAGAAAGGCAGAGTGAGACAGAGAGAAAGAATGAGAGGCAGCGTTAGAGACAGAAACAGAGAAAGACAGCAAGACAGACAGAAAGAGACAGAGAGAGAAAGTGAGAGAGACAGAGAGAATGAGAGAGAGACAGAATGAGAGAGAGAGAAAGACAGAGGGAGACAGGGAGACAGAATGGGAGAGAGACAGAGACAGAGAGAGACAGAGGGACAGAGAAAGACAGCAAGACAGAAAGACAGAGAGACAGCAAGACAGCAAGACAGAATAAGAGAGAGACAGTGAGAGAGTAACCGAGAGAGACAGAGCCAGACAAGGAGACAGAGAG